CTTGACAGACCCTTAAACTAGACAGTGACAAGGAAAAGGAGAGAATAAATTGATAATTACACGATTGTAGGTGGTACCACCCCAACCTGCTCTGGGCATCTCTATTGGGACTTGAGATCAATGACCCTCCTCCAATGTGGGGCCATCTCCATAAGCCCCAACATTTGTGAAAAACATCCCCAGAGTCTGGAAACATCTGGAAAGAATCTGGTCAATTTGGTAGCTCTGGCCTTTTCAGCGGGGCTGCGTATTTTGCATTGTTTTTCTCCTCGTCTAGCCCATAGCGGGTTACCTTGTTGAAAAGATAGCCTTGTAGGCTTTGGCGTGTGCCAGAGTTCACCTCTAGATGGCAGCCTTAACCTTTAAGCCCCACCAGCTTCCACTCAAAGGTCTGAGAGAAGGGAAAAGGAACTAACAAATAGGAAGGGCTTACTATGGGCTGGGCCAGGCGCGTTTATTTTTTATTTTTTTTTAAAAGATGACCGGTAAGGGGATCTCAACCCTTGGCTTGGTGTTGCCCACACCGCGCTCAGCCAGTGAGCGCACTGGCCATACCTATATAGGATCCGAACCCGCGGCCTTGGTGTTATCAGCACCGCACTCTACCGAGTGAGCCACGGGCCGGCCCAAGGCGCATTTATTTATTGAGATGCACAACCTCCCTCTCAGATGCACATCATTATCTCCATTTTACAGTTGAGAAAACTAAGGCTCAGAGGGGTGAAGTCACCAGTCCAAAGTCACACAGATAGGTGGGCACGGTGGCAGTTGGCTTCTCTGAGCTTCACACTCCTCACCTGTGAAATGAGACTGACTCACCTCCAGCAACCACTAATCTGCTTTTTGTTTGTGTAGATTTACCTATTTTGGACATTTCACATAAATGGAATCACACAATATGTGGCCTTTTGTGTCTGATTTTTTTCACTTAGCATGATGTTTTCAAGGTTCATCCGTGTTGTAGCATGTGTTGGTACTTCATTCCTTTTTATGGCTGAGTAATATTCCATTGCATGGATTATGCCACTTTGTGTTTATCCATTCATCAGTTGGGTTGTTTCCACTTTTTGATTATTATGAGATAATGCTGCTGTGAACATTGATGTACACATTTTTGTGTGAACATATGTTTTCAATTCTCCTGGGTATATACCAAGTAGTGGAATTGCTGGGTCATATGGTAATTCTATGTATAACTTTTTGAGAAACGGCCAAACTGTTTTCCAAAGCAGCCACACGAATTTACATTCCTACCAGCAATGTATAAGGGTTTCAATTTCTTCACATCCTGGCCAACAGTTGCTATTGTCCATCCTTTTTATTTTTTGGCAGCTGGCCAGTGTGGAGATCCAAACCCTTGACCTTGGTGTTATAGGTTCTCTTAACCAACCTAGCCAACCAGCCAGCACCTTGTCCATCTTTTTTATTTCAGCCATTCTTGTGGATGTGAAGTGGTATCTCATTGTGGTTTTGATTTTCATTTCCCTAATGACTAATGATGCTGAGCATCTTTTCATGTGCTTATTGGTCTGTGTGTGTGTGTGTATATATATATATACACACACACACACACACACACATATATATTTTTTTTTGAGAAATGTCCATCCAAATCTGCCTTCTCCACAAATTTCGGCACATACACACACACACACACACACACACGGATTACACACACACACACTCACACACGGATTACACACAGAGCCTATTCACATCCCATCCCAGATTCACTTCAACACCATAACCCTACGAGACAGCCATGGAACTGAGGCCCAGAGTGCAATGATACGCCCAACAGCACACAGCATAGAAAGCCCATGGGCGGGCGGAGCCCGTGGTGCACTCGAGAGAGCACGGCGCTGGGAGCGCAGCGCTCCCGCTGTGGGTTCGGATCCTATATAGGGATGACCGGTGCGCTCACAGCACTCACTGGCTGAGTGCGGTGCGACCAGTCTCAAAAAGGACAAAAAAAAAAAAAAGAAAGCCCATGGGCCTCATATTCCAAGAATTTTCCAGTAGCAGAACTTCCCTGAAGCACCACTTATTTCTTTTTTTTTTTTATAACTTTTTTTCTCCAGTTACCAAAGTAATACATGTTTAGTGTAGAATAGGAGAAGCACAAAGGAGGTGGAGCAGAGATTTTTCTCTCTTCTTTCCCACAGCTACGATCTGGTTTCTCCGTGATTTTGGATTCATGTGAATAGGTGACGCACTGGGGAGCCCGGAGCAGGGGTCTGTGCCTTCAGACGCTTGTATCAAACATTTTATATCCTTGGGCCGGCCTGTGGCTCACTCGGGAGAGTGTGGTGCTGATAACACCAAGGCCACGGGTTCGGATCCCATATAGGGATGGCCGGTTAGCTCACTGGGTGAGCGTGGTGCTGACAACACCAAGTCAAGGGTTAAGATCCCCTTACCGGTCATCTTTTTAGAAAAACAAAACAAAACAAAACATTTTATATCCTGATAAACAGGACTTAGAGCAGAAGGAATCTGGGGCATTTTTCTGGAGAAGATACAACAGGGATGAGATACACCAACCGGAATGAAAGTTTGTTTTGGTTTGGGGACTTTTCTAGGGCTGTTTGTGCCTGGCTGAGTCAAGGACTTCCTCACTTACTCTGTGGCCTCAGGCAAGTCACAGCTTCCTCATCTGGAAAGTAGTACTAAGCATCCTAACTTATCCAGTTGTGGGGCACACTCTTTCCACCACCAACAATGTCTGCAACACTGGAACCCCTGGTTCACTGGCAGAACATACCCTCTTTCTTTTTTTTTTTTTTAAGATGACCGGTAAGGGGATCTCAACCCTTGACTTGGTGTTGTCAGCACCACGCTCAGCCAGTGAGCGAACCGGCCATCCCTATATGGGATCCGAACCCGTGGCCTTGGTGTTATCAGCACCGCACTCTACCGAGTGAGCCACAGGCCGGCCCAGAACATACCCTCTTTCACATGGGGTTCTGGAGCTGAGTCCTTTGTTCAAATAGCTCCGTGCCTTGGGAGACAGAGATCTGAGTTCAGATCCTAATTTCATCTTTAACCAGCCCTTGATCAAGTCCTTTTACATGTTTCAGTCTCAGTTTCCTTATCTGTCCAAATCGTACTTGTATTATAGAGTAGTTGGGAGGTTTCAACGAAATAATTCATGTAAAGTACATAGCTGGGTGTTACACTGAGGAAGTTCTCAGGACACGTGAGCTATTATCAACATTTACTACAGGCCTACTATGTGCCCCGCACACTCAGGGAGAAAGGCACAAAGGTGAAAACAAAGCCTAGGTCTCGCTCCCAAGAAGTTTGAAGCTTTCTTGGGTGTCTGACTTCAAACTTTTTGCTCCTGCCACTCCATTCGAGTTTGGCCTTGAAGAATGGATGATATCTGGGCACATGGAGATGGAGAGGAGGAGGGGCCTGGCAATTATGGAGCCATATAAGCAAAGCCTGGGAGATGGTAAAGTGTAGGGCATATGTGGAAAACTACAAGTATTTAAGTTTGGTTCTGTGTGGGTATCTTCTGCTCCAACTCACACAAACTTTAGCTAAAATATATTAAGTACCTACTATGCACCTGGCACCTGTCTAAGGACTTTATATTCAACACCTTATTGAATCCTCACAGGTCATTTTTGCCATCCCCATTTCAAAAATGAGAAAATTAAGGCTCAGAGAGGTCCAGCGATAAGACCAAAATCACAACACTTGGAACAGATGGGGCAGGACTGAAGCTCAGGGAGGCAGACTTTAAATCTGTGCTCCACACCTCTTGCAGGAATTAGTTCCCAGGCAGTGAAACTCTAAAGCCAGCCCCAGCTGCCCAAAACTCAACCGCAGAGAGCTGGCTCTCAGCCCCCTTGCTGGCTTCCTTCTTTCCTCCCAGCCCCACCCTGCCCCCTCCCTGGCCCTGCGGCCCTGCACCTTTCCCAAACTTGCTCTGCCACAATTCCTTCCAGGTTCCCTCATCTGTAAAATGGGGATAATAACAGTGCCTATCTCAGAGAGATATTGGAGGATCAGAGGAGATGCTCAAGGTAAAATGCTTAGAGTCCAGCACATAGTAGGTTCTAAATAAATATTAGCAATCATCATCACCATCATTGTTTAATTGTGTCTCCGAAGTCCTGTGAAATAGGCTGAGTGGTAGCATTATTCCTATTTTATGGTTGAGGATGAGATTAAAGGTGAGGCAGCAACTGTCCAGAGTTGCTCAGTTAAGGAAGTAGAGAGTAGGACTTGAATAGGGACCTCCTGACTTTCTGACTTCAGAACCCATTAACTTCTACCATCCTTTTTGGGAGGATGAGTAAATCATAATCAATATTTATTACCCACTTTCTGCATGCCAACCTAGGCCCTAGATGCTGAGGGTCATTCAAAGAGAGATCCAGGGCTGGCTGGTTAGCTCAGTTGGTTAGAGCATGGTGTTATATAGCACCAAGGTCAAGAGTTCAGATCCCCCTACCAGCCAGCAGCCAAAAAAATTTAAAAAATAAAATAAAATAAAAACAAAAGAGAGAGAGATCCAACTTAGACCCTTGAGGGAGCTTAGAACTTAACTGATATAAGAAAGCTAAACAAGGGCCAGGCGAGCCGAGAGGGAGTCGTCCTCGCCCGTCCGAGCACATCGTGTCGTGTCTCCGCCGAACTCGCGGACACCCCCGGACACCTCTCCTCAGAGTGGGCCGGACTCCAGGCGCCGAGGCCTTCGGGGGCGCGGGGCCGTCCAGGGTCGCCGCCGCCCTCGGGGCGGGACAGCCTCTGACAGTGCTGCCGCGGCCGCAGCCTCCCGGCGATTTCCAAGCGGCGATCTCCAAGTGCTGCCCGACTCGGCCGCGGGCCAGGAAGGGAGGGTCCGGCTTTGCCCCGCAGGCGTCCATTGGCGGCTTCCCCCGGCCTCCTCGCCATGCCGCGGGCCGTGTGAGCCACTGCAGGCTCCGGAGCGCGCAGGTGCCCGCGGGCGTGCCAGTCCCGGTTGGGGAGGGGGCGCCGCACTCGCCATGCTGCGCGGGCCCCGGGCTCTGGCTCCGGCCGCTGGGCAGCCCCTGAAGGGGGTGCCCGCGATGAGCCCCACCGAGCTGTGGCCGCCCGGCCTCAGCAGTCCCCAGCTCTGCCCGGCTACCACCACCTACTACACCTCGTACCCGCAGACGGTGCCTTCTGTCGTGGCGCCGGGCACCTGCCTCGACGCCACCCCCCACGGACCAGAGGGCCAAGCTGTGCGATGCGTGCCGGCAGGCCGGCTGCCGGTAATGCTGGAGACCCCCACGGTTTCCCCCTATGCTTTCCGGGTGTGGGAAAAGAGGGAGGGGCGCCTGAGACTCAGTTTTAGTGAAGCAGGTCAAGTATGGGGAGGCGGAAGGTGAGCTTTCAGTTCCCATAACAACCCATTGCCCCCAGTATCTCAGTAGAAGACCCCTTGATTTTCACACTTTGGATGAAACAATCTCATCCACTGTAGTGCAACGGAATGAGCACTGGATTGGGAGTCAGGAGACCCAGCCCATTACCCCCAGTGCACTATGTGATCTTAGGGAAGCCCAAAAGGCACCCAACATTGCTGCCACTCATTCATTCCTGCTATTGTCCAGGGCTTGGCCTGGGGATGCCGTGGGGAATTAAGACAGGGGGATAGGCCTGGTGGGTCTCTCAAGGTGTAGTCTGGCTTGGACAGACTCCAAATTGTCCATTAGGCCAATTCCTTGCCAAGTATCTGCCCTAGGTCCTCCCCCAGGCTCACCTTCCCTCCCCTGCTGCAGCCAGTAGCAGACACAAGTGAGGACAAACCCCCGGGGTTCTGTTCAGATTGGCTGTTCCTTCCTCAAGCCCCTAGGCCTGTTGCCAGAGAGGACCCAAAGTGTGGTGGCACCAAGCTGCCGGCCGACCTCAGCACAGGGTGTGTTTGTGGGAGTGGAATTCCTGGAGACCTTGTGAATCGAAACAACCTTAGGGTGGGGGTGGAGTGAGAAAAGCCCTGGGGGAGTGGGGGTAGTTAGGGAGCCTGGTTTCTGGTCCTGACTCTGCCACTGATTCACAGTGTGTCCTTGGACATATCTTGGCCCCAGTCTGGGTCTCAGTTTCTTTTTCTTAGAAATGCATGTATGCAAGAGGTTGCTGTGAAGCTAGCTCATCGTGGGTCACTTCCAGCTCCGGGTCCTGCGTTTTGGAAGCAGGCTCCAGGGAGGGGAGATGAGGGTGTCGTAGATTTCGCTTAGTTGTGAGTGTGATGAAGTTCAGGTATAGGGCTAAGACCTCTGCCCCAGAGGCATCTGGTCACACCTGTGCTGTCAGCAGGCATGGACCCCCATCCATCTCTGGATGCAGGCAGAGTCCCCACTCCCTGCCAATGGAATGAGGCTTTGTCCACGTTCAAGACTTTAACCTTCCCAGAGCCCCTTCCTGCACATTATTTTCAACTAGGAGGGCAGGAGGCAGGAGGGCTATTATCCCCATTTTACAAGTCAAGCAACCGAGGATAACTGGGACTGGGTATCTTGTGTCCAGTATTTTATAGCCTAAAATGTTTTTGCACCTTGTGAAGTAGATGGTATTAGTAGCTCCATGTCACAGGGGGAAACTGAGGCACAGAGATGTGACCTGGCCATGGTCATACAGGGAGAAAGCGGGTGATCAGCAGTCTCTTCTCTATGCAGCCTTGACTTTCCTCAATACTGCCTGACTTAGGACCTGGGTGCCCCCAGGAAAGGGGGCTGGGTGGCGGGCCCAGTCTCTCCACTGGCCAGCTGCTTTCAGACGCTGAGTTTCAGTAACAGCTGTGGTTTTGAACTGCTTTGAACCCTCCCAGAGGAACCCGAGTGCATCTGTCTATACCTCCCTCTCAGAGGGGCTCAGTGATCGTAGCAAGAATGGTTCTCTTTTACTGAACGCCTCTCAAGTGCCAGCACTGCTTGGCACTCCTCACGTTGGTTATCTTGGTCAAGATGCCTGGGATAGGCATCTTGCAGATAAGAAAACTGAGCAGAGAAGTGAAGTCACTTGCCTAGTCAGAAGTTGAGAAGTGGGGAGTCTCCTTGCACTAGACCACCCTAAAGGCCTACCAGGCCCAAAGCCAACTCTCCTGTCAGTCCCCAGATGCCCAGGGCCCCTCAGCCCCATGAGCAGACCTGCCCCCTGCTTACTCATTTTACAAGGGTGTGACCTGGAGCAGCTCCAAACCCATCCCTGGGTGTGGCCACTTGCTTTGTGGCTAGGCTGCAAAGTGCAGGGTGAGCAGGATTTGTTGGGGAGCTGCTGTTTAAAGGGACCTCAGGCACTGCCCAGGGATGGCAACCAAGTTCAATGGCAGAATGAAGCCCAGAACCGATGTCTGCTCGCTCCCTGTCCAGTGTTCTTTCCACCACCCTCTGGAGCAGGCTCAGGGGATACTCATTTTTTGAGTCCCTACTCCGTTGAAGCACGGACCTCAGGCACTGCCCAGGGATGGCAACCAAGTTCAATGGCAGAATGAAGCCCAGAACCGAGGTCTGCTCGCTCCCTGTCCAGTGTTCTTTCCACCACCCTCTGGAGCAGGCTCAGGGGATACTCATTTTTTGAGTCCCTACTCCGTTGAAGCACATAGCATTATTCTGTTTCATCCCTGCAGAAACCTATGAAGGTGGTGGGATTCTGTACAGTTCTCCTTTCCTTTTAATTTGTCTATATTTCCCAAATTTGCTCTGAGAACCCTGAAAGGAAATAGTTTAGCAAACAACTGTACAAGGCAGGTCAGATGAGGAAATGGAGACTCAGAGAGGCAAGGCAGGGAATCCCAGGCTGCCTGCTACCGACTGGCAGAGCTGAGATATGAAAGTGGGGCTCAACTCACTACATTTGCTCCTAACTTCCACCATCTAACTTAGGGCTTAGAAGAGACCTGGCTCCACTCTGTGTGACCTTGGGCAAGTCACTTTTGCTTCTCTGAGCCACAGTTGCCTGTAAGGATCTCTGACCCTCTGCACTTCTGGAGCTGCCTAAGGAAGGAGCTGTGCTCTTCTCCCTAGGGGTTGGCAGGGTGGGCTTGAATCAAAACCAGGCCTTTAAGATCTAGCCAAAGGGGCTACCTAAGGGGGTCCAGGTTAGAGCCAAGCTGGCCTCTGGGTGTGGTCACAGACCTTTGTTCTACTCAGCCCATCACTGTCTCTCTTCAGCTCATCCTTGAACTCTCCCCTTGCTATACCCCCCCACTCACCCTCCACGTGAACACTTGCCATGGGCAAAGCGCTTTGCTGCACTGTCTTGCTGGATCCTCAGCAGATATGGAGAGGATTATTCCCATTTTACAGGTGGCTCAAGAGGTCAACTGACTTCCCACCTCACCCAGCTAAGAAGCATGGAGGCCTAGATGCGAACCCAGGTTGGTCTGACTCCAGGGCCTGAGCTCAGGCTGTCCTTGACCTTCGTCTTCCTAGGCTTGGCCTCTGCTACCTCTGTTCTGGAGGCTCAGCCCATCCATAGGCTGACTTTTCTCTGGGCAGTGCCCAAAGGTGTCTGGGAGGTGTCTTTAGGTGGGGGACACTCTGCTGCTTAGGGACCCTGGGAGTGCAGGATAAGGGTGAGGGAGAGTGAGAGAAGGGGCGGACTGGTGTGTGTGAAGTGATTTGGGCATAGCCAGGCCTTGGCCCAAATTCCAGCAAATCCTGGGGGAATGTGTGTGGGATGGAGCTGAGACAGCCTGGTACATGGCTTTGGAGTCAGACAGACCTGGTTTCAAACCCTGGCTCTGCCCTTTGTCTGTGTGACCTTGGGTATACAGTTTAACCTCTGTGAGTCTCCATTTCTTGTCTGCCAATAAAGATTGCCACTACTGATGTTGCAGGACTGTTATGAGCATGTGATAGGCCCAGCACAGGTATTCTGTTCAAGGTCCTCCCTCTCCTTCTCTGCTCTACAGATCGTAAGGTTCCTCCTGTTATGTGCTGGTGGTGGAGGTGGATGGGATTGGGGAGACTGGGCTGCCCCACCTCTGCCTCAGGTCAAGCTTGACCTGACCTTCCCTTCCTCTTCTTGCCCTTGGTATTCCTTCCGAGGGATGGATGAAGAAATCCTGGGATGGACAGCCTTGATCAGAATTGATAAAGGCCTTGGAACTCACCAAGCCTCAATTACTTCAGCTGTAAAATGGGAATTTTAGTGTGTTGGGAAGATTCAGAGAGGTGATGAATGTTGGAGCTTGGCTCAGGGCACGTGGAAGTTCTCTGCAAGTGATTGGACTTTTCTTTAGTGATAGGATGGGGTTAGATCCCTAGGATCTAGGATTTCACCAGTTGGGAGAGTAGAGAAGGAATATTGAAGACAGTCTTCAAGAGGAATGAGGAGGGAGGTGTTTGGATCATGTTCAGGTCTGGGTAGGGGAGGATAAGAGGAGCATCATGTGCAGGTTCCTCAAATTAGTCCAGGAAGACTTCCTGGAGGAGGCAGGAGTTGGGGGAGGGGAACTGACAGTAGGGAGAACTGTTATTGCACCCTACACCTGTCAGCCCAGCTGTGCTCAGCAGCGGTTAAAAGTCTCAGCCCTGCCAAGCATGACCCACTACCAAGTGTTAAAATAGGCCTCTTTGTCCAAGCCACAGTACGCGTGTCTGGGGGACTAGGGCATGGAGGAGGAAGGAAATGAGCTCAGTGACCCCCAGAAAGGTGTGTCAAGGAAGAGGCAGAGATTGGATTTTAGGGAAGGTTCTCTGTGTTTTCTGAATACCCACTGTGTGCTGATCCACAGGCTGAGAAATTTACAGAAGTTGCCTCCTTGAATCTTTACAATAGCCCCGTAAGGTAGGTATTTTCTGCCCCATTTTATAGAGGAGAAAACTGAGGCTCCTAGATGTGGAGCATTTCCCCAAATCACACAGTGAGCCTGTGAAGGAGCAGGAGATTTAAGCCCAGGTCTCTGACCTGTGCCCCAGTGCCCCAGCTCTGCCCTTCCCAGCCCTAACCAGCAGAGAGGCCCCTTCCGGGCCAGTACAGCTCTAGGCCTAATTGGGGCTGGGTGGCGGTGAGGTAGAGAGGAGCAGATGGGTCTGTGGTTTGATTTCCCCAGCAGGTGTTTCCCAAGCTTGGCGGGAACAGGGAGGGGGAGCTGGGGGGCCTCAGCTGCTTGCCCTTAAGACACTGGGGAAGGATTTATTGTCTCCCCCTCTCGGCAAAGAAGAATGACAAATGGAGTCTATTCAGGATGCCCTGGGGCCAAGCTGGAGCCCAAACATGGGGGTGGAGGATGTTTGCACTGCTTCCCAATGTGGGCTCCTCCCTGGGGTGTGGCACCGAGCCAGGAAGTCCCCTGGGCCTGGGTGGATGCCCAGCCCCACCCTGATAAGGGCCAGCTGTGGGACTGTGATGGGCGCCAGGTCTGGCTGGGCCAGCTGCTTCTGTAGGTGGGCCTTTCCCCAGCCTGATGTGGTTTAGGCTCCACCCACTGCTTCCTCCCTTGTCATCCTCTGCATGTGGGGGATGGGGGTGGGAGCAGGTGTAGAGGCAGCCTTGGGGCCTGTTAAGGAACTCTGAGCTCAAATGCCTGGGCTGCAGAGGATGGGAATTTTATTTGCCCCTCAGAAAACAGGACTTCCTCCCCCTGAAAGCTCACTTCTCTGGTCACTGATATTTCCTTATGAAGCACAGCAATGTTTCACCAGGACTGGTGGTAAACTGAGGCACACAGGTGGCTGCTGGTGGTCTCAGCGCTTTGGCCCCATGTCAGGGAAAGGCTAAAGGAGGAATGATTCTCAAATTCTGCCTCTCTCTCCCCGCTCTCTCCAAGGCCAAAAGGAAGCTGGTCCTGGAGGGGATTGGGAGGCCTGTAGTCCCTGAATTCCGGACTCCCAAGGGGAAGTGCGTCAGAGTGGATGGCCTCCCCAGCCCCAAAAGTAAGTGGTGCTGATGGGGCATCTGGGGATGGGGTGGATGGGGCAGAGGGCATCAGCCCTGCCCAAGTCATCAGGAGTAAAATTTATATCACACTTTGCCATTTACAAACATTTCCTGTGTGTTGTCTCACTTGAACCTTCCAGGTAGGTAGGATTATCCCCCTTTTACTGAGGAGGTAACTTGAGACTCAGCTTGAGTGACTTGTCCAAGGTCACACAGCTAGTAAGTAGAATCAGGACTAGAGCCGGACATGTAAGCTTTGTGACTGCTTCTACCACACCATCCACTGCTCTCATGATCTCAACATGATGACCAACATTTTTATTTGGGAGCTTATTATTTTAAGTTTTCATATTTAGTGCAATCTGACTTTTTCTAAAAGACAGGATCCAGCTCAGTCAGAGAGGATCAACGGCTGACCAAGGTCTTCCTCCCACATACAGACAGAGAGCTAAATAAGTGATTCAAAGGGAGGTGAAGCTTTTATCAATCCGGCCTATGCCACCTCAGAGGTTTTTGGTGGGCCTTTCCTAAAGCTAAGTTGGAGGGGATTTCTGTCTCTTGATATTTTCAGTCGGTATTCTGGTTACAGCAGGAGTTTAAGCAATTGTGTTTGGGAGGAACGCTAGTTTTGGGGGTCAGACACCTAATGAAGAAAGTAAGGGGGTCTGGGAAGGGCTCTGACTCTTCTGTGAATATTAGTTGTCTCATCTATAAAACGAGACACAGCTAGATCAGGAATGGCAAGAAAGCTTACTCTCCAATTGATTGGTAGAGGCTGTCCAGAGTGCTGTATTGAAGGATTCTAAGGCTCAGCAGTGAAAAAGAGTGTGCTCATCAATTAGTAAGGTCCGCCATGCATACAAAACTTGACAAAGCAGCCTGTGTGCCAAATGCTTGCCATCTGTGTGTTAAAGGATTCTGAAGTCCCTTTCTCAAGGAATCTGAGACTCTCTAAAACTCAGGTTCCAGAACTAATTTGGCCACTAACTTGCTATATGACTTGCAAGTCACTTGATTGCAAAAGTCCTCTCGTGGTTTAAGATGCTGCAGCTGAGATGTGGTCTTGCAACACTGACCTCATTGAGAAAGGGACCTTTTTCATGAACCTGCACCATTTGAGGTTACTTGACTGATTCCTCTCACATGGAAAGGAAAAGCAAGTGTTTGTCTATAAAAATGTTCTCAAATCCAGGCTTGTCGTTCCCTCCCTTCCCTAATTCCACATTCCTGACATAGACATATAACTGGCAGGATAGAGTAATGGTTAAGAAGGAAGACTCTGAACCAAACAGCCTGGATTTTATTTTTCCTTTTGGCTGCTGGCTGGTAAGGGGATCCAAACCCTTGACCTTGGTGTTACCAACACCATGCTTGAACCAGCTGAGCTTAACTGGCCAGCCCCCAAACAGCGTGGATTTGAATACCAGCTTTGCCACGTTCTAGCTGAGTAAGCTAAGCAACTTACTTAACCTGTCTGTGCCTCAGTATAGCCATCTATAAAACGGGGATGGTTGTACACCAACCTTATAGGGTGTTGTAAGGATTAAATTTGTTAGTATATGGAAAGTACTTAGAACAATGACCTGCAAACAGTAAACAGTTTTTGTTACTGGTAGGGCAGTCCTAAGCTGTGGTGGAAAGGTGCTCTGAACCAGCAGTCAGGACACTTGGCTTCTAGTCCTGACACTGCCACCTGACTGTGAGACCTTATGTGAATCACTTTCCTTCTTAGATATCAGGTTCCCTGTCTGGACAATGGTGGTGAACGATCCCCTGCCTTACAGTGTTCTGTAAACTGGAAAGTGGGTGGTGAAGGGTGGTACTTAGTGGGTCCAGGTCAGTGGAGGAGGTTCTGCAGGCTGCCCCTCCCTGAGATGGGATTGGACACCTTTCCTCCTCAGCCCCCAAGTCCCCTGGGGAGAAGACTCGGTATGACACGTCGCTGGGGCTGCTCACCAAGAAGTTTATTTACCTCTTGAGCGAGTCTGAGGATGGGGTCCTAGACCTGAACTGGGCTGCTGAGGTGCTGGATGTGCAGAAGCGGCGCATTTACGACATCACCAATGTGCTGGAGGGCATCCAGCTCATCCGCAAGAAGGCCAAGAACAATATCCAGTGGGTGTGAGTACCCGGGCTGGGGCCGATGGTGCCATCCAATGGGTGCATGTGCTGTGGACAGAGCCAGGAACAACAGCCAATGGGCTTACATGCTGGAGGCAAAGCCAATGTATTTGGAGGAGGGTGAGAGAGCCCATGTACATGTTGGAGTTATAGTAGGAGAGCATGTTGGGGTGGGGAGGGGGTGCAGGTGCAGGGTGGAGAACAGTTTCTAGGTGTAAAGGCCCAAGAGGACCCCAGATCCTTCCTCATGAGTCAGGTATCTCAAGATCCCCCTCTTTTAGCTTAGGGAAGTCCCCTGAGAACTGAGTAGGAGTGACCCAGACTCCCTCCAGTTCTGAGATGTGAACTCCTCTCCCCACTTCTACAAGGCCTTAAAGAGCAGGTCTATAATCCCTGGCATGAGCCCTAAGAGAACCCCGAGTGGGAAAGTCAGGACTGAGGTCACTCCAGTTCTCTACCATTTGGAGGAGGCTGAGACATAGGGATGAATACACTGGGGTGCCCCCCAAAAGTGGCGTTCAAGCCTTGACTTGTTTCTTCTCCCTAGTCCAACCCCCAAACCTCAAGTTCCAATCGCTGGCAGCTCCCTGGGAACTAGGCATGACCCAGGGGGCACCACTGTAGACCATGTGAATGGCCTTGTCCTGGAGTTTCAACTTCACTGTCTGTGCAGCAGCCCTGGGGTTACTAGTCCAACCCCCAAACCTCAAGTTCCAATCGCTGGCAGCTCCCTGGGAACTAGGCATGACTCAGGGGGCACCACTGTAGACCATGTGAATGGCCTTGTCCTGGAGTTTCAACTTCACTGTCTGTGCAGCAGCCCTGGGGTTGGGGTCTCTGGATGTGAACTGAGACTGACACTGACGGCTGCTGTGTTCCCAGAGGCAGGGGAATATTTGAAGACCCCACCCAGCTGGGGAAGCAGCAACAGCTGGGGCAGGAACTGAAGGAACTGAAGAATGTGGAGCAGGCCTTGGACCAGCTCATTCAGAGCTGCTCTCTGAACTTCAAGCACCTGACGGAGGACAAGGCCAACAAGAGATATCCACTTTGCTGGTGGGAAGGGGTCAGGGAGCAGGGGCCTGCTGCATGCTTGTATCTATCTAGAGTTGATTCAGGCCGTCCCTGCAGGGACTGACACCTTAGGGGTCTGACACATTCGTTTCTTCCTTCTTTGGTAGCTTTTCTCAAGGTTATTAAAGTTACCTTCTCATTAAAAATAAGACACGTACATTTCTTTAAATCTGAAAAAGGTAGAAAAAAAAAGAAATAGTGGGCTGCCACCTTAACATAGCTTTTGTTCCTTAACTATACACAGGGTGTGTGTTATTTAAGTATAGTTGTGTGCCTGCTGTACACAACATTTTTTTATCCTGCTTTTCTCCACTTAGTACATTACCGTAGACATGCATGTTGTTACATATCCTTCCTAACTATCTGGTTGACCCACATGAAACTGTGGTACTCATTCAGTACCCTCTTTGTCTTAACGATAGGGTTATGTTCAGATAAACCTATGGTAAGTTGAAAATATCATAAGTAGAAAATGTGCTTTTGACTTAATGATATTTCCAACTTATGATGGATTTGTTAGCATGCAACCCCACTGTAAGTCAAGGAGCATCTGTATATAGAACAATTTCCTATATTTTCACTTATTTCCCTAGGTAGGATTCCTAGGATTGAGATAATGAGATCAAAGAGTATGGACTTTACTAAGGCTCTTTCATACATTTTTCCAGATGGTTTCATGTCATGTCTAATTGGTTTTTGGATCTGACCTTGTGTTTTTGGAAGGATGTTAGGCATTGTGAGAAACGTGAAGAAATAAAACGTCTTCCTGCCTTCTCAGAGCTAATGATCTAGTTTGAGAGAAGAAGCCTTTACATACAAAGCTGATATAAGGCAGCATTTTATTTTTAATAATTTATAGCCCCATTTGCTTTCTGAAGGGATCCAAGGTAGATTATGATATTGAAAGAACAGGTTACAGTTTTAGTTATTTCTAAGCTGTATAAGGAGTGAGAAAGTGATGTTCAGAGGCTTAGGAGAGTTGGGTGAAAGCCCTGCCTGGCAGGCTGGAGGTTTGAATTTTGACTGGTCACTTTTCTTGACTCTTCTGCCCCTACACTGGCCTATGTAACTTACCAGGACATCCGGGCTGTCAGCAACTTTAAAGAGCAGACGGTGATTGCTGTCAAGGCCCCCCCCCAGACGAGACTGGAAGTGCCCAACAAGATGGAGGTGAGAAGGGAAGCATTTGGTGGATAGCAAGGTTGAGTGGGTCCCAGGCAGATCTTCAGACTGTCCCTGGCGTTGTCCAGCCCCAAGCTTCCTGGGTCCATTCTAGTACTCATGGCAATACTGGTGGACTCTGAGTTGTGGCAGAAATGGCAAAGGCTGTAAAGGGCAACAGAGATAGAGTACTGGCCTGGAAAAATCTCTTCCTGCGTCCACCAGCCCTGGATTCCTGCACATATGCACCTGTGCCCACACACAACATCAGTACTCACATAAATCCTTTCATGCTAACCATGTTCTCCTAGGTTACAGACCTAGAAAATTCTTAACACTTCCTATGGGGACTTTAGCGCTCTGACCCCAGCTGACCTCACCAACCTCCTCTTCCTTGCCACCCCATCTGTCTGCTTCGGTCACACTGACCTGTCTGCAGTTTCCCCACCACACTAAGCTCATCCCCAGTGTAAGACCTTCACACATGCTGTTCCCTCCAGCTGAAATGCTTTTCCCTCTCTCTGCCTGGTTTATTGCTGTTCATACTACAGGTCTCAATTCGAACATCACTTCCTCAAGGAAGCCTTCCCTGGTCAGCCCCAGACTTCATAACCATCTGTGCTTTTCCACCACACTTAATATCTATTTGCCAGGATATATTTGGCATGATTAAATCTGCTCCATCTATTAGAGTGTAAGCTTCACAAGAGATGTTCTACTTACCTTGTATCCCCAGGCCAGGCACATACTAAGGGCTCAAGAAATAATTTGTTTAAAGGAAAAATGAGAGGGCCGGCCCGTGGCTCACTTGGGAGAGTGTGGTGCTGATAACACCAAGGCCACAGGTTCAGATCCCATATAGGGATGGCTGGTTAACTTACTGGCTGAGCACGGTGCTGACAACACCAAGTCAAGGGTTAAGATCCCCTTACCAGTCATCTTTAAAAAAAATAATAATAAAAAATAAATAAAATAAAGGAAAAATGAGGACTGCAGAGAAAATTAAGGCCCCACCTCTCCCTTGAAGGAACTCAGGACCTAGTTGGAAACAGACCCAAGGAAACAGTGATGCTTTCATTTATAGACAGTATATGCTTTGAAAGCATAGGGAAAGGATGGGCAGAGGGAGCATCCCAGGTGGTGACAGTTAAACTGGATCTTAAAGAATGAGTAGGATTTTTGCCAGGTAAAGTACTACATGAGAACAGGCATGAAGATCTGATTATGTGCCAGAATGGCATGTGTGTGGCCAGTTGTGGCTTAAGTTGTGGGTAGGGAAGAGGCAGGGGTGGGAAGGCCCAGTAACAGAAAGCCAAGTTCAGCTGGCTTAATCGAGAGGGTGGTTTGGGATGGGAACCAAGTGCCAAGTCCAGGGGGGAGATTTGGCGATTGGAGGCAGGGCTGGATGCAGGGGCTCAAACTAACTTCAAGTCTGTCTCACACTCCCCATCCCTCCCTCTGTTTTTCTCTGACTCTATTCCCAGGTGGGTTCTCCTCCCCTTATGGTGGCAGAGATAGCTTTTATGGTACCAGTTAGCAACCAGTGGAAAGGGAGCTACCGTTTCCCACAAGCCCGGCAAAAGTCCTGGGCTTAATGCTGGTTGGATGGACTGGAGCCATGTGCCACCCTGAACCAATTACGACACTCTGACTTTCCCAGCTGCATCATAAGCTCACCCACTGGAGTTGGGGAAGGGTGCTGCCCCTCACACCCTAAATTTCATGACCTGAGAGTGGAGGAAGAATGATTTCCCAAGGGAAAATCAAGGTGTTCTCCCTAAAAGAAGGGGGCTTGGGGGCCAGACAGCAGATGTTCGCCACAGGCCATTTGGGGCAGGCCTCGGTGCCCAGCTCAGAGGTTGAGCTTGCCTACATGGACGGTGGCAGCCACAGTGTCCGTCCATGTACACGGACCTGTGGCTAAGTGTCCAGCTTCCCACAGCCATGGCCTGGCTTCCGTTTCTCCTCCAGGAGAACCTGCAGATACATCTCAAGAGCACTCAAGGGCCCATCGAAGTATACCTGTGCCCAGAGGAGGTGCAGGAACCAGACAGTCCTGCCAGGGAGCCCCTCCCCTCCACCTCTAGCCTCAGCCCCAGCCTGGACTCTGCCCGGCCCAGCAGCAGCACCAACCCTGGGATCACGGAACCCACAGCATCCTCAGGTAAGGCCCTCTGTCCAGAGGGACAGGAGGTGGGGAGAGCCACTGGCCTCAGTTTCCTCTTCCACATCAATATTTGTTGGATTCCTATTGTCTATCCAGCAGCTGGGGGTACAGTCATCCGCCCCCACATGTGTACATTGCACTTTATGCTTTATAAAGCACGTGGGCATCCCTTGTCTCACTGGGGAGGCTGATGCTGCCCTGAGGCAGAGGAGAGCCTGGATTTGAATCCCAGCTCTTCCACTTTCCAGCTGTGTGACCTAGGAAAAGTTCCTTAACCTCTCTTTGCTTCAACTTCCTCCTCTGTAAGTTCAGCATAGTAAATAATAGTATCTAACTCATAGGTTGTTGTGAGGATTAATAAGTTAATGCAGGTAAAGCACCAGTCTGGCACTATTAACTACTAATAATGTCATTAGTAACTGCTGCTACCGCTAATAATGCTACTCCTTTGACGACTACTAATAGCAAAGCTCCCGGCACTCAGTAAGCCCACAGTAAATGGAAACTATATGGTTTTTGAAGAGGGCTCAAAACCTTGGGAGATAATAGCTAAGGTTTTTTGAATCCTGACTGTGTACCAGGTATATCCAATATCACATTACTCCTCAGTAATTCTTGGTTTTATTATTCACAGTTTAGAGATAAATAAACTGAGGCAGGGCTGGCCCGTGGCTCACTCGGTAGAGTGTGGTGCTAATAACACCAAGGCCACGGGTTCGGATCCCACATAGGGATGGCCGGTTCGCTCACTGGCTGAGCGTGGTGCTGACAACACCAAGTCAAGGGTTAAGATCCCCTTACCGGTCATCTTTTAAAAAAATAAAAAAATAAAAAAAAAAATAAACTGAGGCAGAGAGGTGATACGACTTCCCCAAGGTCTCCCAGCTGGGAGGCAACGCAGATGTGTCTTGAACCTTTGTCTACACACTCCTAGCCCAGTGTCCTCTCCCAAGGCACAGAACAAATCAAGGGTTCCTGGACGGAGGGGCAAACCCCTGCTGGGAGGTGGACAGTACAGCTAAAAGCTGGCTACCCCTGGCAAGAAGTAGTGTGGGAATGTTGCCAGGGAGCACAGAGGGAAGAGAAATCCCTGAGAGCTTTACAAAGAGGGGTGGGAGTCTGGAAGGAGTAGAAATGGAAGTCTTTTGTAAAGGCCCCTCCTCCAGAATGGATTTTGCCCTTAACTGGGATCACGCATCAGATTAGACTGGCAGGATTCTTCAAGGCCACATAGGCCAGTGGTCCACTTTTTGTTTTCTTAGGAGAGTTCCCTTAAGTAGAACCCTAGTGTTTAAACAAAAGCAGAGGGCCGGCCTGTGGCTCACTCGGTAGAGTGCGGTGCTGATAACACCAAGGCCACGGGTTCGGATCCCACATAGGGATGGCCGGTTCGCTCACTGGCTGAGCGTGGGGCTGACAACACCAAGTCAAGGGTTAAGATCCCCTTACCGGTCATCTTTTAGAAAAAATAAAAAAATAAAAAANAAATAAACTGAGGCAGAGAGGTGATACGACTTCCCCAAGGTCTCCCAGCTGGGAGGCAACGCAGATGTGTCTTGAACCTTTGTCTACACACTCCTAGCCCAGTGTCCTCTCCCAAGGCACAGAACAAATCAAGGGTTCCTGGACGGAGGGGCAAACCCCTGCTGGGAGGTGGACAGTACAGCTAAAAGCTGGCTACCCCTGGCAAGAAGTAGTGTGGGAATGTTGCCAGGGAGCACAGAGGGAAGAGAAATCCCTGAGAGCTTTACAAAGAGGGGTGGGAGTCTGCAAGGAGTAGAAATGGAAGACTTTTGTAAAGGCCCCTCCTCCAGAATGGATTTTGCCCTTAACTGGGATCACGCATCAGATTAGACTGGCAGGATTCTTCAAGGCCACATAGGCCAGTGGTCCACTTTTTGTTTTCTTAGGAGAGTTCCCTTAAGTAGAACCCTAGTGTTTAGGGCCGGACCGGTGGCGCACTGGATAGTACGCCGCTTGGGAAGCACGGCGGCACTCCCGTCTGAGGGTTCGGATCCCACATACAGACCGGTTCCCGCTCACTGGCTGAGCGAGGCGCGGGAGCAACACCGAGGGTTGCAATCCCGTTGCCGGTCCCTGGTCCGGTACGGGGGCAACACTGAGGGTTGCAATCCGTTGCCGGACACGGAAAAATACAAAAGACAAAAAAAAAAAAAGTAGAACCCTAGTGTTTAAACAAAAGCAGAGGGCCGGCCTGTGGCTCACTCGGTAGAGAGCGGTGCTGATAACACCAAGGCCACGGGTTCGGATCCTATATAGGGATGGCCGGTTTGCTCACTGGCTGAGCGTGGTGCTGACAACACCAAGCCAAGGGTTGAGATCCCCTTACCGGTCATCTTTTAAAAAAAAAAAAAATTAAATTAAAAAAAAAAAAAGCAGAGGACAACACCAAGCCAAGGGTTGAGATCCCCTTACCGGTCATCTTTTAAAAAAAAAATAAAATTAAATTAAAAAAAAAAAAAGCAGATCTATAACTGGTCTGATGGGAGAGGCTTGGGGGAAGGGGTGATTCTGCAAAACACAAGTTGGACTCCATTTCTGTAACTCCATAGTCTGTAACTCAGGTTGACAGACTACTGCCTGCAGGCCAAATCTGGCCTGTTTTTATATGGACCATAAGCTAAGAACAGTTTTTACATTTGTAAAGAGTTGGGAGCGGAGAGAAGGCAACTGTGTGACAGAGACCACAAGAGTCCTGCAAAGCCTAAAGTACTGTTTGGCCCTTTACAGAAATTTGCTGACCCCTGATCTAATTTAACACTTCATTTTACACATGAATAAACTGAGGCCCAGAGAGGGTAAGTGGCTTCCCTCAGGTCACCCAGCAAGTTGATGGCAGAGCTGGGACAAGAGCCCAGAGTCCCAATTCTTCTCTAGTGATCTCTCCTGTATCTTTTGGCCTCCTTCTAGGACTAGGGCTTCTCCCTATGCTAGCCATCTGTAGTTCTGGGCACCTCCCTGGTGCCTATCTCCTGCCCCAGACCTGTGCCCCACCTTGTCATCCCCCTTCCTCCTGCTCTGCCTTCTCACTCCACTGTCAACATATGCACAGCTCTGCAAAGTTAGAACCCAGCTGCACTTCAGTTGTCCTCTGAGACCTTGGGTGGAGGTGACAGACCTCAGTGTAAGCAAGGGCAGTTATTGCCTGTTTTTATATGGCCCATTAATTTCACAGATCAAGAGCCTGAGGCCCAGAGAAGAGCAAAGGCTTACACAGCAGTCAGTGGTGGGGCCAGCCCAGAGCCAGCTCACACGCCATGGCCGCGCCCCCCACCCAGGCCACATGGTCTCATAGTGTTGTCCTTGCTGAAAGGGAAGAGGGGAACATGGAGCACACGTTGCATGTTCTGGCTTAAAGAGTGGAGTCATTTTTAGGTTTAAGTGCCAGAGGCCATGCCCAAAGAGGAGGCCACTACAGTCGTGCAACCCAGGTCTTTGCCCAGTTCTGGCATCACCAGGGGAATTGCTAACCCTTTGTGGCCTCAGTTTCCCTCATCTGTAATGGAAGGGGTTTGAATAAGAGTTGCCTCTAACACAGTCCTCCAGGCTCTGGCATTCCAAGGTAAACCTAAATGTAGCTGATGGCACAGGATTTGAAATTGCGAGACTTGGGTTTGAGCCTGTACCTCACCTCTTGGTGACTGGGGGTGAGTCACTCTAACCATTCTGAGCCTTGGTTCTCACATCTCCAAAGTGTGGACATCTAACAGTTCTGTCATGAATATTGAGTAGGTTGCAGGAGATGATACAACACTAATGTGATTTTTTTAAAAAGCTTATGTGAAACAAGCACCTACTCTGCCAGGCCTGGTGCGGATTTAGAGATACAAAATCAGTAAGAGCCATCCAGAGCACGGTCAGGGACAGATATGACAAAGGGCAGTTCCATTCTGGACGTGATCAAGGGCAGGAGAGAGAGCAAGGTCCAGCTGTAATAGAGATTTCCACACATGTTATCTCAGTTACTGCTTCCAGCAACTCAGTGAGGTAGATACTTATTTTTCCTTGTGAGAAAAACAGACTCCTACAGCTGGTGAGGGGTGGGGCTGGGGTCTGAGGTCACATCCCGCTTGCCCCCACGTCAGGCCCCTTGTAGCCACACCAGTCATGTGCTAAGTGGGTCTGAATTTTTTTTTTTTATTCAAATATATTTAATTGACCTCTTTGGGCCTCAGTTTCCTCGTCTATAAATAGGGGTAACAGCATTGTCTCCCTCAGGTCCACTTGAGTGTCAGAGGAGGGGAAACATCCCTCTCCTTGAGAACGGGTCCAGGCTCCTCATAAGCCCTTGTTAAATGACAGCTATCCTTATTATTAACAAGGGCAGCACGCAGACCCCACGTGTGGGGTTTCTGCAGACCAGTTCTTTTCATGCGCTTATCACTTAATCCTCTCAACAACGCTTTGAGGTAGGTGTAATTATCATTCCTCCTTTAGAGGTGAGGAAACCGAGGCTTGTAAACATTGTCACTTGCCCACGGTTATGCAGCCAGAAAGAGGTTGGTCAGGCAGTTGAGCATACCAGTGCAGTTGTTTTCAAAGCAATGCTTGGTTGGGATTGAAGGAATGACTCAGATGGTGGGATTCTGAGCATCAGGATATATTTGGCCAGCAATTTTTGGTACCCCATTCCCTGTGCCTGTGTAGGAAATCCCCTTCTTACCTCTAAGTGGAAATTAGCTTGGTGTGCTGAAGAATAGTCAATGGCCAGTGTGGTCAGAAAGGTTGAGTGTGGTGGGAGAAGGAGGAAAAAGGCAGCAGGGGCCAGATCACGCAGGGCCTCCTCAAACTTCGTTGGAACTTGGATTTTATTCTAAGCCATTGGGAAACTATTAAGGTTTTTAAGTTAGAGCACAGACTGCCAGGGGCAAGAGTTAAAGCAAGGTAACCGGTGAAGAGGCTCTTGCAGTGATCCAGGAGAGAGAGGACAGGGCGAGGACCTGCATCACAGCAGTGGGACCCAAGAGAAATGGGCAGCTTGGAGAATTCATTTGGTTGTGGAGATGACCACACTTGCTCCTCAACTGCCAATTTGGCTATTTTTTCTTTTATTGCATGTGTCTTGGTGTCATATCTAAGAAATCACTGCCAAATCCAATATCATGAAGGTCTTGCTCTATGTTTTCTTCTAAGAGCTTGATGGTTTTAGGTCTTACATTTAGATCTTTGATCCATTTTGAGTTAATTTTTGTATATGGTATTATGTAAGGGTACGACTTCATTCTTTTGCATATGGATATACAGTTTTCCTAGCGCCATTTGTTGAAAGGAATATCCTTTGGGGGGGGGTTTAAAGATATGAGTTATAAAGTATATCTGTATATTAGTGAGAATAATCTAGTAGAGTGAGAGAAATTGATGATGCAGGAAAAAGAGGAAATAATTTTGGGACAAGGGCCCTGAAGGTGAAAAGGGGTAGGGTTGGGTGCAGAAGCTGCAGGGTGGACTTTGAGAGCAAGACATTCCTTCCACTATCAGAGGAGAGAGGAGGGAAGACAGTGTTGGATAATGGGGGAAGCTGCTAGAGTTGGAGCCAGGAAAGGGCAGGTGTCCCTATGCCACTTGGCAGATTGAGAAGAAAGGAGAAGGGTGCACAGTCAGTTGTCCAGAGGACGGGAAGACTGTCCTTGTGTGCTGAGGTCCAGCCTCAGCCCTGGAGGGGTTTGGGCACCAGGGCCAGGCCTGATCCTTGTCCATTTGTCTCCAGCACCAGGAACAACTCCCCAGCAGGCCCAGCCACCGCCACCGCCATCCCTTGTCCCCTTGGAGGCCACTGACAGCATGCTGGAGCTGCCGCATCCACTTCTGCAGCAGACCGAGGACCAGCTCCTGACCCCGACCCTGACATGCAGCTCCCCTCTGATCAGCTTTTCGCCACCCTTGGACCAGGACGACTACCTCTGGGGCTTGGATGGGGGTGAGGGTATCAGCGACCTCTTTGATTCCTATGACCTTGGGGACTTGTTGATTAATTGAGTGTCCTTGCCTGTCCCCAGCAGCCCCACGCCTGTCTCTACCTCCTCACAGACAGACAGACCCTCTGCCCACACGGGGACATTGGACACACAGTGCTACCCTCAGCATGTGGGGGTGTCCTCCTTTCCTTTCCCATCTCCCCACTGGTGGAAGCTGTCCAGGGAGATGTGGAGGATATGGGAAAGGAGCATAACAGGGGTTGGGTCCTGTCCTTCCTAATGGAGGTTGGGCCTGAGAAGGCCCATCCAGTTTTCTGACCTCTGATCTCTCATGTAAAGAACCACAAGTGAGGTGACCAGGTCCAGGGAAAGGCCCTGCTGCCACCCTTTGAGAGGTAATTAGGACCCTCGATTTATCGAGAAGCACTTAATGCCTTTGTATTTATTTCAGGTTGAGCTGTGTTTGTTTGTCCACCCTGAGTTTTAGCAGGGAAATTGTTCTAGTTTCTAGCAAGACTTCTCCTCACACAGGCCCATCACTGTCCACTGTCCCAGGGCAGGCCTGGGCTCCCAAGGCCTGGCCAACTCCCTGTTTCCCCACAGTGGCAGGGGCTGGGTCTCTGAGGAGCTGTCCAGTCTGCCGGAACGCTAATTGCACTTAGGCCTTGTAATTCTAGCAGGCTGCAGGCCCTCTGAACTCTCCCCTTGTTCTCAGCCTGATGTCTCCAGCAGAGGCGCCAGCTTGGATTCCTGGTCTTCCCTGTCCCTGCGTTGGTTCCAGGGGGCAATAGGGCGGGCAGCACTGAGGCTCCTGTGGAAACAGGAGCAGCCAGTTAAGGAGACCCCCTTCCTGTGGAATTTCTTACCTCTCCTCCCCTTAGAATGTAAAAATGATCCTCCAGGGAATGAGCAGAGAAGAGCTCCTGAGGAAAACAGACAGGAATGTGGAGGCTGTCATGGCTGCCACAGACACCTTCCTCAGAGTTTCTGCCTCAGCCTGGTGCAGGGGCTGTTTGACCTCAAGGACCTGGGAGGCAGAGGCAGAGGCCACTCCATCAGAGAGAAGGGTGAGATTAAAACAGGAAACTGCTGAAAGCATCCCCCCAGTAGCTGCTGGAATTGTCCCCTGCTTCCCTAGGAGGATTATTTTTTGCCGTGTTTCTTGAAGGGGATGATTCTTTAAGGACCTCCCCTTCCCTCCACCTTTCTTTTACACAGAAACCCGCCACCCACCCCCTCCAATGACAGAACTGACCAGGGCTTAGTGGCATGTTTTTTCCTTTTGTTACTAGAATGCTGAAGGGGTGACCGGCAGGGGTCTTCACTGCAGACCTTTGCAGCTAATGGGGAGATGGGCTTATGTTACCTCTTCGGGCTTGGGGTCCTGAGAAGGTCTTTCAAGCTTCACCCCATTCCTCCAGAGGCTTGACCATCCCACATTGTCCCTGTAGCCCAGCTGGGGACAGGGGGTCAGCTTTTCTTTACCATCCAACCTGGGATGGGGGGATGCTCTGGGCTGACCCAAGACCATGCCTTCTGGAGAGAGGCAGCTGGGGTGGTGGTCTGAGAGGCCTACCACCCACCCTCAGGGAGCTAGGTTTCCTCAGGGACTCAGCTGGGCAGCACTTTTTTTTTTTTTTTCCAAGTTTGTAGCATTAAGTTGGTTTAAAATATGAAGTTATCTTTGTTGGATTGCTCTTGAGATGACTGGCATGTGAAGTTTGGGAGGTGGGCTTATTTAGGCGGGGGGTCTCGTGTGAGCTAATGCTCAGCTGGGGACAGTTGTGCCTCGCCATTTGCTCAACTTCCTGGGACCCCCAAGTTAGCCCCCTCCCAGGAAGGGTCAGTAGATCACAGATGCCCCACTCTATAAGCAAGGCTAGTTTTTTTTTGGGGGGGGTGGCCGACATGGGGAACTGAACCCTTGACTTTGGTATTACAAGGCTGCACTCTAACCAGCTGAGCTAAATGGCCAGCCTGAAGCAGGGCTAATTTTGTATGCTTTACAGAAATGCCTTTGATCACTCCTCCCCAAATACTCAACAGGGGCCTCATCAGAAGCCCGGCATTCCCAGGGCCAAGGGACCACCTTGTCCCATAAGGCAGGGTTGGAGGATGCTAAATGGGATCTGGTTTGGGGCAAGTGGGGCTGGAGATGGCAGTGTTCTGAGGTTCCCACTGCGCTGCCATTCAGCCATGTACCATCTGTGAGGATAGAGATATTTGACTTCTATGCCTTGGGCTCTTTTTGGAGCTTTCTCCTACAATTAAATCAGAGAAAAGGGAGAAGAGGCTTCAGTACCCATTGGGAATTAGTTTAATGCTGAAATCTGGCTGGAATTCAAGGTCATTCCCCAAATGCCCAGCCATAGGGCTGGTCAGAGGGGCTGCCCTTGGGCACATGGCCTGTATCCTGAGCAGCTACCTCTGCCCCATCTTGTGCTATCACCTCCACACTCTGCCTGGCTGAGGGGATGGACCTCCCAGGCTAAGCCTCAGGCTCAGTGTGGGAAACAACTCATGCCTCTTTTCTTGCCAGTGACATTTGAAACCTTCCAAGTTCCACAGAGTGCTTTAAGGACACCATTATGAGTGGTGTTTCCTTTATGGGCCAGGTAAACTTTAAAACTAGGGTGGGAGGAAAGCCAATTTCTTTCCGAGGTAAATGATTTCTGCCAGGAAATTTCCCGGCCCCACCAGCAGCCTCTAGTCACCAGCGTCCCCAGGGACATCAAAGGCTTGAGGTCTCTGAGAACCCCAGTATCATTAAATTGTTCAGTAGAGTTGGAAATTCAGAGATTCTTTAAAAACCAGAGATGAGTTCCTAAGTCCCTTCTCATTAAAGGTGTTAGAACAAGAGACAGGGCAGCATCCCTTCTCTACGGTCATGCAGTTGGCTAGTGTGGCTGCAGGGAAGAAGAGTGATGCTGATGCTCGTAAAACAGGCTTTAGGATGGTTTTGACTTGTTTTCCCTTCCTAGGTGTTCTCAGCCTCAGTTCTGCACAGTGTTTAGAGTTTTAGTGGCAGAGTTTGGGTGTTCCAGCACCCAAGTGTTGTGTGGCTTAATGCATTTGAAGTGAAAACCTTTTGGGGTTGTTGGAAACAACTTTCTAGTTCTTGTTGTACCCTGGGGTCCCCACCTCATCCTGGGACCCTGTTTTCCCTTAAGAACCCTCAGTGACCATGGTGACCACAAGTCAGGCCAGGCTGCTGGCTCCTGGATGAGATGAACATGCCTTGTATGTGGCACATTTGTCTTGAGGGTGAGCCAGCCCATGTAACCTGGTCCCTTGTGCTGGGACTCCATACGGGTCATTTACCTCCGGCCTGGTTTCACCCTGGATCCCACTTTGATGAACACCACGTAAGCCTCTTTTGTGTTGTGATAATCGGGCATTAAACAGCAACTCTGGACATCTTGTCTTTGTTGTGCTTTCTGAAATTCATTACCAACTGTGGGTCTGGTCCCTGCAGGCTGGGGGTGGGGGCTGTCCTAGCCGATTCCAGGAGCACATGTTTGCCCAGCAGATTTCCCCCCAGAAACAGCCTTCTTTTCCCACATTGTCTATTACTGTGCCTGAAATCTCACCATTGAGACAGAAAAGTTAGTACCCAGTTCTAAAGCCTGATCTGCCTGCCTGATTTCAAAACTTACACATAGCTACAGTAGTCAAGACAAGCCTGATCTGCCTGCCTGATTTCAAAACTTACACATAGCTACAGTAGTCAAGACAAGTATAAGGACAGACATATAGATCAATGGAATAGAATTGAGAGTCCAGAAATAAGCCCTCATTATGGTCAATTGATTTTTGACAAGAGTGCCAAGACAATTCAATGGGGAAAGAATAATCTCTTCAACAAATGGTGCTGGGACATCTGGATATCGACATGCAAAAGAATGAAGTTGGACCCCTCACTCACACCATATACAAAATTTAGCTCAAAATGGATCAAAGACCTAAATAGAAGGTCTTCAAAAAGTTCGTTAAAAGATCTGTATTATCTTTTAATTTTATTTTCCCATGAACTTTTTGAAGTACCCTTGTATACAAGCTAAAACTATAAAACTTGGGCTGGCCCAGTGGCGCACTGCTACAGTGCGGCGCTCCCACCGAGGGTTCGGATCCCACATACAGACCGGCCACTCACTGGCTGAGCGAGGTGCGGGCGCAACACCGAGGGATGCGATCCCGTTGCTGGTCCCGGTCCGGTACGGGCGCGACACTGAGGGTTGCGATCCATTGCCGGTCACGAGAAAAAGACAAAAAGGAAAAAAATAAAAAATAAAAATTACAAAACTCTTAGAAAAAAACATAGGCACAAATCTTTTTTTTTTTTAAGATGACCAGTAAGGGGATCTTGACCCTTGACTTGGTGTTGTCAGCACCATGCTCACCCAGTGAACTCTAACCAGCCATCCCTATATGGGATCCGAACCCGTGGCCTTGGTGTTATCAGCACCACACTCTCCTGACTGAGCCACGGGCCGGCCCTAGGCACAAATCTTTGTGACCTTGGATTAGGCAACAGTTTTTAAAATATAACACCAGAAGCACAAGCAACAACAAAAATTAATTGGACTTCATCAAAATTAAGAACTTGTGGGCCGAGCCCGTGGCGCACTCGGGAGAGTGCGGTGCTGGGAGCGCAGCAGCGCTCCCGCTGCAGGTTCAGATCCTATATAGGGATGACCAGTGCACTCACAGAGCTCACTGGCTGAGTGAGGTGCGGCCGGTCTCAAAAAGGAAAAAAAAAAAAATTAAGAACTTGTGTCGCAAAGGACATCATCAAGAAAGTGAAAAGACAACCTACGGAATGGGAGAAAATAGGGCTGGCCCGTGGCTCACTCGGGAAAGTGTGGTGCTAATAACACCAAGGCCCCAGGTTTGGATCCCATATAGGGATGGCTGGTTTGCTCACTGGCTGA